CCTCGGTGCGTGCGAAAGCCTTCCCACGTCACGAATCTGCCGTGAGCAAATGGTCGGAGCAGCCAGTTGGTGATGCCCCCGTGAATGACCTGAACCAGGCGAACGTCACGAATGTCCATGCCGGACATGTCCCGTAGGTTGTTGTGCGGGGTGTTGGCGACCGTCACGGGCAGGCTGAAGTTGTAGAGCTGGTTGATGTCTAGCATGCCATCTCCAGGTGTCCAGTCAACCGATGGTGTGAGCCAGGCTTTCTGAGGTCGAACTGGCAGGGCTGCAGGGTATCCAGGCGATGGTGTAGCTTGAGAAGGAGTGACCGGTGGTGGCATCACGGGTGTCATGAACTTCGCTGGCGTGGGCTCTGGAGGAACCGGCGTCATGTAGTTGACCGGTGAATGATGGAACTGCTGCGTGGGGTTTGGAATCGATTGATAATTGCCTGGCATCACCGGGAAATTGTTGCTGGAGTTGTAGCCGGAATTGTGTTGCCAGGATACCAGGTTGTTCCAATCCATGCCCTCCGAGACCTGGTTGTCATTGTGTTCACGTCGGCGTGCTTTGCGAGCTTGAGGGGAAGGACTCCGATCCCGTCTGCGCCGAGTCCTGGATCTGTCACGATCATCTCGTCGAGACATGGTGGCACAACAAACTCAAAACCGCAACACCTCAATCTTGAGAGAATCGAATCCGACAAGATGCAAGTCAATGCAAGTTCAAGCCAAGCACAGATCAACATGCGGCTATGCAGCCAACAGCGAAAACGTTACAAAATCAACATGAAGCACACACAGCGAGAGAAACAACGGGCCAAAAGGACTTTGAATCACACGAGATGCACAGGTACGTCAAGGTGATCAGCCTCGATATCACAGGACAAGTGCGGCGTCTTCGTTGGATGCCGACCGCACAGGTCCCCAGCATCCCCCTGTGGTAAAAGTGAAAGCCTGATGTTGGTGACAGGGTATTCTGCCACTCCGCACACACACACACACGCAGACACATCAACATTACTTGACGATTGCGCACACACACACACACCCGCACACCCGCACACCCGCACACCACACACCCGCACACCCGCGCACACCCACACACACACACACCCACCCACCCACGCACGCACGCACGCACGCACGCACGCGCACGCGCGCACGCGCACGCGCGCGCGCACGCGCACGCGCACGCGCACGCGTACGCGCACGCGCGCGCACGCGCACGCGTACGCGCACGCGCTCGCGCCACACACGCGCACGCACCGCCCACGCCCACGCCACGCCCGCGGCCCACGCCACGCGCACGCGCACGCCCACGCGCACGCCCACGCGCCACGCGCACGCCCACGCGCACGCGCACAGCGCCGCCGCGCACGCGCGACGCGCACACGCACGAGCGCGCGCACACGCACGCGCGAGCGCACGCACGCACGCACGCACGCACGCAGGCATGCATGCATGCATGCATGCGCACACACACACACCACACACCCAGCCCGCGCGCGCACGCACGCACGCGCACCTTGCACCCGCACCACGCACCGCACCCGCATCACCGCAACGCACCCGCACGCAACCCCCACGCACCTACCGCACCGCCCGCACGCACACGCACTGCACGCGCAGCCGCACGCACGCACGCCACGCACGCAGGCACGCACACGCACGCCCGCACTCGCACGCGCGCTCCCGCACGCACGCACCCGCACGCACCCGCACGCACCCGCACGCATGCACCCGCAAGCGCGCAGCCGCACGCACCCGCACGCACCCGCACGTAGCACCCGAACCCGCACGGACCCGCACCTGCACGCACTTGCACCCGCACGCGCACGCGCACGCACCCGTACGCGCGCACGCACCCGCACGCGCACGCGCGCGCGCACGCACCCGCACGCGCACGCACCCGCACGCCCGCACGCGCACCTGCCCGCACCCGCACCCGCACGCGCACGCACCCGCACACGCATGCACCCGCACGCACGCACCTGCTCGCACGCACCCACACGCCTGCACGCTCGCACGCGCACGTGCGCACGCGCACACGCGCAAACGCGCGCACGAGCACACGCGGACAGAGTGCGCGTATTTGCACGCACACGCGCACGCACCCGCGCCTGCGCACGCGCATGCGCTCGCACACATGCGCGCGCGCACGCACGGGCGCACGCACGCACGCACGCGCGCTTGCACGCCCGGCCGCTTGCCCGGCCGCATGCACGCACGCACGCACGCATGCTTGCATGCACGCACGCACTCGCACACAGACACACAGACACATACAAACACGCACGCATGCACGCGCGCACGCACACGCTCACGCACACGCGCACGCACACGCACACGCACAAGCACACGCGCACGCACACGCGTACGCACACGCACACAGACACACACACACAATCACACACACACACAGACACACACACAGACGCACACACACACGGACACACACACACACACACACACACCCCACCCACCCACCCATCCACCCACCCATCCACCCACACACACCCACACACACACACCCATACACACACGCGCACACACACACACCCACCCACACCCACCCACCCACGCACGCACGCGCGCACGCACGCGCGCACACAGGCACGCAGGCGCACGCACGCACGCGCACGCGCAAGCGCACGCACGCACGCACGCGCACGCGCAAGCGCACGCGCACGCGCACGCCACGCACACACGCACGAACGCACACACGCACACACGCACACGCGTACACGCGCACACGCGCACGCGCGCACACACACGCACACGCGCACACGAGCACACGCGCGCACGCGCACACGCGCGCACGCGCACACGCACACGGCACACGCGCACGCGCGCACACGCGCACACGCGCGCACGACATGCACACACGGACACACGCACACACGCACACACGCACTCATCCGCGCACACACACACATCCACACGCACACGCGCACACGCACACGCACACACGCACACCGCACACGCATACCACGCGCGCACGCACACGCACACGCACACGCACACGCACACGCACACGCACACGCACACGCACACGCACACGCACACGCACACGCACACGCACACGCACACGCACAGCACAGCCACCAAACGCACGCACACGCACACGCACACGCACACGCACACGCACACGCACACGCACACGCACACGCACACGCACACGCACACGCACACGCACACGCACACGCACACGCACACGCACACGCACACGCACACGCACACGCACACGCACACGCACACGCACACGCACACGCACACGCACACGCACACGCACACGCACACGCACACGCACACGCACACGCACACGCACACGCACACGCACACGCACACGCACACGCACACGCACACGCACATGCACACGCACACGCACACGCACACGCACACGCACACGCCCGCGCGCACGCACACGCGCACGCGCAAGCGCACGCGCACGCGCACGTGCACGCGCACGCCCACGCCCACGCCCACGCACACGCACACGCACACGCACACGCACACGCACACGCACACGCACACGAACACGAACACGCACACGCACACGCACACGCACACGCACACGCACACGCACACACACACACACACACACACTTGTTGGACCCTTGGAGTCCGTGCTTCAAAGAGTTGGTCGGGCAGAAGCCTCCGGCGAATCTGCGAATCTGCAAAGCCAATCTGCTGCCTTCCTAGCAAAACATACTCGAGCAAGCTGGAGATCAATGGCCGGCTTGGGCCACTATCAGCTGATTTGTCGCTGACAGCCCAATGTGAGAAATGAACGACTCATTTGCCAAGTATGATACGCTCTGATCTTCCAAGCCGGGCCCGTGCGGCAGTTTCCAGCTTGGATTGCTCGACAGTGGACCTTGGACTCGGGTCTCTCCTGCACTGAATGCTCCGTTTGGATTTGCGAGTGTGCTTAGGCAGCCTCAGACCAGTCCGTCGGCTGCCAGGCCGGTTGCAAATACTGGTTTCCCGCCTTGTTAGTCAAGATCGCTCGCTTTGGGGTAGATGAAGGTCATGAGTTCAGGATGAAGATGGGTTTAGACATGCAAGTGGCGCTTGCCGGGATGTTAGGCCTTGCTTCACAAAGCGGTGCGGTCAAGAGGATGGATTCTGGCCACCATGTGTGTGCTCCAAAACTGGGGACATCCCACCTTCTGCATGCAACAGGTTTCCAAGGCGTGCGCCAAAAGAGGGGGGTTCTCAATTTAGAGAATGCGCAGTTGAACTGAGCCTGCCATCCCAACTGCTTTGGACTGAAAAGGCGCCGACGACCGCGAGCGCTACGTCCGACCTGATCCCACATTTGTCGAAGGGACACATGGGCTCACCAGTTTTCAAGACGGACTTTTGACGATGCCCTCTACCGGAACTGAGTCTGGTGTGTCTTGAACAGATCGTTCCCGGAGGAAGGGCTCCGCCAAAAAAAACCACGAAGCCATTCGCCCGATTTCCGTGACTTGAAAAAGTCATCGAAGGTTGCCGTGGTCAAAACACAGTCTTGGGGTTCCTGTGTATGGTCACGGGCCCTTCGATATGGCTGTGGGTCAAGACCAATGGGATCCCATTTTGGGGTAGGTGCACCACCCATTTTAGTCTATTTTAGTGGGGATGTTCACTCGGGGGGGTACAGATATTGAACCACGGCCATATGGGATTTAGTTTGACATAGTATGGGTTCTTATTCGAAAAGCCATGACCGTCTACTTCTGTGGGGGAGTTTTAACCGTGATACGGTGATACGCATGTTCAATCCTTGAGCTTCTTGGGGCACCATAGATGTAACACCCAGGGCACCGTTTGAAAGCTTGATACATCTTTTGAAAGGCGATGGTTCGCCTTTCCAAAGGCGGCACAAAGGCTCGGAGTGAAGTTTCTGCGAGGTCAAACAGAATGTGCCGAGCACCATACATCATTCCACAGGAGACCTGAAACATATGGGATACACCAGCCAACAAGCAACACCAAGAAACAACATCTCGAGCACGCGCCAAGGCTGCGTGAAGATTTGGTGCAATCGCTCCGGTTTTTGCCACGCGGATGGCATGACTTGCGCTCGCGCAGCTCTTAGGTCTCGCTCGGTATCCCAGACACCCAAGTGGGTTGCGAGCGCTTTCCTTTTTCTCGGAGGGGTTCCCTTTAAAATCAGGCACAGCTACTGCGGATGCCCGAAATATTTCAAGGGAACCAGTTGGCAGCCCAAGGTGAATTCAATCATGGTTTGTGGTTGGTATATTTGCAACATGTCGAATGGGGCATCCACCAAAAGAAGACGCCCCATTCTTTTTCAGGGCTCCTTGAAAGATACATTTTGCCACCATTTGAAACATGTTGCTTTTTCAACACCAAAAGAAGGGGAGACCACCATTGACAAGTTGCAATGTTCAGGTGTACAATGCATCCGGATCCTGGTTTTTGTCCCACGGAAAGGAGTTCGGACGTGAGCCATCACGAGCCTCCGGACCCCAGACGCCGTGAAATTTTTCATGGGCCTTGGGCGAGTCTCTGAAATGGGTTTGAAGAAGAATCTCCAGTTGCTTAAGATTTGTTTTTCTTGGATTTTTTCCCCTAAACTTTTTCCAGGGGTCTTAACCAAATGGAAGAAGTTCAGAGTTTCCGGACATCAGACTTTGGTTGGAACAAAAGGAAACCGCCAACCAAGAGGTCTGCTGATGAACCCAACAGGCCTGTGATGTTCATACCCCTCCCCGAAAGGGGTATACACCCCTTATAAAGTGGGTTGGAAACCACGGAAGCCCTTCGGAATCGGTATGAAGAAGGGGTACTTCCACCCTACCTTCAAGTTTCGAGGCCATGGAACATGAGGGAGGCTCCGGCAAACTGACCTTGAAACGGGTAGCCACAGAAAACCACACCAGAGTGGGCTTTGCCTTGAGCCAAAAGGACCACCCACCCATTTTGGGGGGTGCCAATTCCGGACTTCGCGACGCATCTCAGAAGGATGCCTTTGGCGAAGCGCTGAGGCGATGCTGCGAGGCACCGTGAGGCCCGACGGGCGGAAGTCACCGGCGAGCCAAGCAGCACGCAGCGGGCCACAGCCTTTGGCCAAGGTAATGTTGGCCCCGGAGGAATAAACCCCTGTTTATTAATATGGCCCTCCAAAAGTGATAAATCCTCACTAAAACCAGGGACACCCCCATATCAATAAACAGGGGTTTATTAATCCGGGGTCAACATTAGGGATTCAAGTAGAGGCTAAGAGGCACGCGCATGCTAAACGTGGAAGCGGATCGGGCCAGAGGCGGGCGGTTGTAAGCAACACATCCAAGGGCACTGAGACTTTGGCAGAGTCACAAGCCGCCTTTAAAAGGAATCCCAGCACTGAAAGCACCATTCCCTGCCCATGCGCTCAGTGCCGCTTTTGCTGCAGGGCGCTGCTTGTGCTGCTGACGGTAGCTGCGCCCGCGCAGTTCAAGAGGAGGGCTGAGCCTGGGTCCGATTGGCGTGTGAAAACCTGGGGCGCTTTTATACCTTGCGCTTCAGGACAGTCAAGTAACACTCGGAAAGTTTGCTGTCCAAATCTGCCTAAGCCCAAGCCTGGACCAACCTGTCCAAGTCAACCCTCTAAAGGAACCCTAAACCCACCCTAAACCCATCGCCTAACCAATCCGAAACCCTAAACCAACCACCCGAAACCCACCTAACCAGCCCTAAACTCACCCCGAATCAACCCTTAAGCGACCAAAGCCAGCTCTTGAGCCAATCCGACCAGCCAAATTGAGCTAGACCAATGTGAAATCAATACGAAAACAATATGAAGCCAGTACCAAACCACGGTACGCAAACGCGCGCACACACACAAACCTATACGTATACATATATATATATATATAAATATGTATACATATTTATATCACGTACATATCACATATCACATATCACATATAACATACATATACATATACATATACATATACACACACATACACATACACATACACATATACATACATGACATACATGACATACATTGCATACATTACATACATTACATACATTACATACATTACACACATTACATACATTACATACATTACATACATTACATACATTACATACATTACATACATTACATACACTACATACAATACATACATTCCATGCATTACATACATTACATACATTACGTACACTACATAAATTACGTACATTACATACATTACATACATTACATACATTACATGCATTACATACATTACATACATTACGTACACTACATAAATTACGTACATTACATACATTACATACACTACACACATTACACACATTACATACATTACATACATTACATACATTACATACATTACATACATTACATACATTACATACATTACATACATACAGTACATACATTACATACTTACATACATACATACATACATACCTACATACATACTTACAGACATACAGACATACCTACATACCTACATACCTACATACCTACATACCTACGTACCTGCATACCTACATACCTACATACCTACATTCATACATACATACCTACCTACCTACATACATACATACATACATGCATGCATACATACATACATACATTACATGCATTACATACATGACAGACATTACATACATTACATACGTTACATACATTACATACATTACATACATTACATACATATACATACACACACGGCTGTTACCCCCTCACCACTCTGGCGAGGACTGTGGACAGGAAGGCGCGTGTCTTCGAATACCCCGACATTCAGGCGAGATGGGGCAACCTTGTTTGGAATGAAGAGGGTCATGTAAGGGGTTCAATCCGATTTTAAGACATGGAGGTCAATCCGCCCGAGTTTCGTGCTTTCTTCGCGTCTTTTCCAAGCCTTGGATTCGAACTTTCTGCCTAATTCCTCAGCCCCAAGGAAGGTGTCGTTGGGGGCTGGATGGCCTCAGATCCCAAGTTTCTGGGTTCCGAGCCTCCAGAAGGTTCGGTTTTTTTTTGGGGTGGCCCGGGTTTCCTGGATGTCTTGGTGTAAAAATCGGATTGCTTCTTGACTTCTTATATCAACTCAGCATGATTTTTGTATGTGATAGTTTTTGGCTGCTCTTCAATGGGTACCAAGGAGACCGCACAAGATGTATCTGTAACTGGACTACTCTTTGCCGTGAAGGCGCTCTTTGTGAGGGGCACTGAACAAAAACAAGCAAAGGTTTGGCACGCGCCGACCGAGTGGGACTTCAATGTGGAAGGGTTGGCCCTCGGATACATCCGAGAAGGAGAGCGGAGAGCGCGTCCCCGCCGACTGTAAAGGACATCCACCAAAGGGCCCCCGAAGTGTTTTGGCTCATAGCCTCCAGGTTCTTGCACATGAAGCCCCAATGCTGGCCAAGTAAAGGTCTCCTACTTGGTGGCCCCCAGCCGTCAGGTTCCTTAGCTTTTTAGGCTTTTGAGGTTTAGTGGTAGTTTCCATGTAACCCACTAAAGTTATTCACTTTTAGCAGGGGACCTGAAAACGGGCAGCCCAGTCTAAACTGGGTTCCCGGTCACAAAATTCCCGGCTGAGTGGGCAGGCCGCCGCAGACCTGCCGCAGCTGACTCTGATACTGGATCGGTCCGGGAGCTACTGGAAGGATGCCGCTTGACTCGCATTCGATGCGGAAAAAACGCCGCGTTTTTCTTCTCCAAGAAGGGTAGTTGTCTGGGTCCATGTTGATTTGCAAGGGTTGTGTGGTTGCAACACGTGTTTGAGTGCTGCGCGTCACGTTGGAGCGGTCGGCAACATTGATCCGTTTCTGTGGAGTGACTCGCGGAGCGGCGCGTGTGGCCCCAAGTAAGCGCGCCCCTCTTTCACGTCACAGTGGTTGCACTTTGACGGGTTCTCAAACTGGGTGTGTCTTTTGTTCCTACTTTTTTTTCTTTGTTAACTTTGTTCGAGGCTATTTTTTTTCTTCAATAGTTAGGAACACTTCAAAGGCAAAAGCGGGGCAATCTTGAGCCGCCAACAAGCCGCTTCCGGCTTCCAGGTGCTGAACATGACCCGGCAGGCGCGGGTGTGGTGCTGGAGAGACGACGAACAACTATGACATGGGTCCGCAGGTGTTCAGGGCTCCTTAAAAGATCGATTCATTTTGCAACCATTTGAAACATGTGGCTTTTTCAACACCAAAATAAGGGGAAACCACCATTTACAAGTTGCAATGTTCAGGTGTATGATGTAAGGATCCCTGGTGTTGGTCCTTGTTTTTCCATTTGCCGGTTCTCACGCCATTTTGGGGGTTGCCCTTGTTTTTTGACCCGATTGGGCTGTTCACTTGTAGCTTGGGCGACCAGGGGGAGGGGGGGGGGTGATGGCCCCCCCGATTTTCCTGGGGTGGTCGAACCCGGGACCTAAAGCTGTTTTTTGGGCCCATGTGTTTTTGTTTTGAAACCCGGGGGGCTGCATTGCCATTTGTCCCACTGCTTAAGTAAGCCTGGTGAGATAATCTCACTGAACAGAGACTGAACAAATTAAATCTTTTGTGGGTGGGTTACAATCAGGCTTACGATCGCCACTTACCCTGACGTGCCAAATCGCATCGATCGCCCCGTTAAGTGGAGACCCAAACGCCAGTTGGCTGACGATCTGGCAGCCGAGCAGCTGGCAGTGGTCCTGCTGCCGGCGGCGCTTCGTTGCATGCAGAACGAGCGAGCGGTGGGTCGGGAGCCGTCGGGATGTCGGGAGGTGAGCTGAAGGAGGATTCGGGTGAATGAAGTTTGGGGGAGAGTCCCATGTCTTTTGGAGGTGAAATGGGTTTGGAGCATCATGTGAGCCATTGACAAGATTGTAAAACCCCATCTACCATAGTACCCAAAAACGGTTTGGGGGTCTAAAAAGAGGTTGAGGGGAATTAACCAAAATCATTGGGGAGGGGCAAAACAGAACTGAACAGCAAGTTCGGGTGGTCGGCGGACACATTGAGGAGTCAAACAGGTTCGGGGTGGCAAACAGCATCTCAACAAAACAGAATGAGTGGGTGTCGACATGGTTGGGGGCGGGGTGGCTTGGGCGGGGTGGGGGGTTAAGATATAGCAGGTTGGGGTTGCTCAACGCAACAAGTTGGGAGGGTTTGAGTCAACGGTTGTTGGGTTGGCTGGCTGGCTGGCTGGTTGGTTGGTTGGTTGGGAGGTTGGGCGAGAATTCAGGTAGTCTATGGTCCCTTTGGGATGGCAGGGCACGAGATCTCTCACCTCCGCAGCATGGAAGTGCACGGCCTTTCCATCAAAGTCGTCTTTCCGGAGCCTCCGAACTTTCGTGTTCGTCGGTGGGAGGGTAAGCTACATATGGCGAAGCGCTAGGGATCGCCAGGGTAAGTTTCTCCCACCACCACCGGCACTCAGAGCCGTGGCCGGTTCGGTGTCCTTTTTGGTTGGCTTGGTGGAAAATAGAGGGCGATTCCTGGTTGACCTGGTTCAATCAACTACCAGGGAAGCTCATTGATTTTCAACCAAAAAGGACACTTATGTTTGGGAGTAATGTTAACCCCGGATGAATAAACCCCGGGTTGGTTAATATGGGGGTCTTCCTCTCCAAAAGTGATGAATCTCTATGGCCGTGGCCGTTGGACACGTTTTCTGGGACCCAGGACTTCCAGAGCGCGCTGAAGTTCTTTAAGGTGAAACCTGGAGACCTGCCCATGGCGCTCCTTCGGCGCTTGGGGGGCGGTTCGTTCGGTCGGGAACCGAACTCGAGAGAGCGAGGACCGATCTTCGGGTCAACTCGGGCAGGGACAACCCGAAGTCCCGAGATGGGTGCGGATCGCCTTCGGGTCCCCAGCATATCAGTAACATATCTTGATTGTGACTCAACTGGCCTTCTCGCGTCGGAAAGCTCGCGCCATCCCCTCGGGGAAAAATATTGGACCTGGATCTCTGGGGATGGTCCCTTGCTCCCAAATAGCTGATTTCCAAAAGACTCCAGATCCAACCAGTTGTCATTTTGGGACCATTGCACATCACTAAGCCTTGGTCCGGATGAGTGTGGTTCCCTTTCTTCTCGTGGCACGTTGGTTTGAAAGCCGAAGAAACCAACCGCTCTCACCGTCCGGAAATTTTAGGACGGCGTGCTAGGACTTCGGACCTCGGAGGATCCTGGCAATCGGAGTCGCCGTTTCAGGTTCTTCAGAGGGAGCCACCCACTGGCATGAAGCGAATCGGCCCTTTTGACCTTTTCCTTCTTTTGTTCAGTTTTAGTGTCCCAAAAGGTGATAACCTTATATTTCTGGTTCCAAACTGGAACCGGGATCCTCCGGATGAATTCCAGGTTGAAATCAATTGGGGACACCGAGACCGACGCTCCACGCATGTGACCTGCGGGACGACGTCTCTTTCACTGTAACTTTGGAACGGGGTGTCCTTCTCGAGGATTCCCCAGTTGGGCTTCATTCAAAGGGACACCAAAAGATACCAAGCGGAAACCACGCGGAAGCCAAACGGAAGCCAAGCGGAAGCCACGCTGAAACCAGGAGACGCTGGAAGCCAAAAGAAAAAAGCAAAACAGCCACGCCAGAAGACACAGCTTGGGCTCTCTGTAGAGTGTTGTGCCAATGATTGGCCGGCTGAGTGAGTTCATACGCTTGCAACGGAGTGGACGGATTGTCAAGTTCAATTCCTTGTCCTCGTCCTTCTTGTCATCCCTCACCAGCCTCAAGCCAGTGCCAGAGAATCTCCAACAATGTCAACTTTCACGTCCCTTCCCACAGAAAGCCAGGCTTCGAGAGAACCGCCGCACCATTTTTTTGTTTGGAATTCACGGAAAGCAACTTCGAGAGATCACGGAAAGCAACTTCGAGAGAAGCCGCAGGACGCCATTTTTTTTCCTTCTTTCAGATGGCAACTTCCAGAAGCGCCCCGCAGGAGGCCCAAACTTTTATCATCATTATTATTATTACTATTATTATTAGTAGTAGTAGTAGTAGTAGTAGTAGTAGTAGTAGTAGTAGTAGTAGTAGTAGTAGTAGTAGTAGTATTAGTATTAGTATTAGTTTGTTTTTTCTAAAAAAAAGAAAAACAAATCGGAGCATCCTTCGGCATCGAGGCCCTGGTGGTGAAGTGGCTCAGCGGCCTCGGGGAGCGGCCCTACCAGCTCTTCCTCCACGCCCAAGGCGCGATGGGAAGTCCATGGGGCTGGCGGGACGTGTTTCCTGGGAAGACGGGGCCGCGCCGCGGCGGTCTTTTTTTTTTGGGGGGACCCCGGCTTTTTGGCCCGTTTTTTGTTTTTTTTTGGCGCCGGGGCGCCAGAGTGTTTTTTTTTTTTTTTTGCAGAGGGAGTATCTTTTGTTATTTTCAAAGGTTGGTCTATGGTTGGAATCTACTACTACTGGAGAATAGGTGCTCATTCTTTTTCCAGTGGACTTGAGCAAGTGGAAGAAAACCATGGGGGATCAACCTTTAGACACGTTTTTATCTAGTTGCCTGTTGCGATGATTTTCAATGTGTTGTTTGGGGTTATCAATGTCAGCCACCATAGCATCACTTTGGGGATGACTTTGACAATAGGAGTATGGTGCAGCACCGGTCGCTCCCCCCCCCCACTCTCGTCATCTCCCTTTAGCCACAAGGGAATTGTGCCCTGGTGACCGTGTGACTCTAGTCGCTGGGCTGGGCCCGGCTTTCTTGGGCTTTCTTGGGGCACTGGACCGAGACACTTGCGGAACCAAAGCAACTCGCCCAACTTTTTGAACAAACACGCTCCCCTTGAACCCCTTGAACTTTTTTGGGGGTTTTCCTTGAAGCAAAACTAAAAAGAACGACACACCCCAGTGCTGGGGAAAACGTGCTTGAACCTGCAGGTTTCTTTTCTTTTCTTTTTTCGGCCCCGCTTCTCTGGGAGCAAAAGGCTAGCCAAGCTGCCAGCCATTTTTCTAGAGCGGTTGCTTGCGGTCCGGGGACACTTGTTTTCTACCCGCGGATGCGGGTCAAACCGCCGGCTGGGATGCGCCATCTGGGTGTCCTGCAGTGAAAACTGCCTTGGCGCTTGGGGCGTGGTCCATGGTCAGTCCATGGTCCACCTCCCCAAAAAAACCCACCCCGACAAAACAAACAGCTTCCGTGTGTCCCATTTGGTTTCCTTTGCGGAAAGATGTTGGCATGCAAAAGCCATGCTTAAAATTTGTCTCCGTTTTGTGGGTTATCTCACCAGGCTTACGACCCACCCCCACCACCTCCCCCCGCACCCCCCCAAACCCCCGACCCGAGTCCGAGTCTGACTCATTCGCCTGGCTGCATCACCAGCTGGCGCGCTCCTTAAGCGAGCCCCGCAGACCCAGGCGACCCGAAGCAGCTTGGCCTCACGGAGCTGCGAAGCTTCGCCAAGCGCTTCCTGGCAGGCGCGCGGTCACCCATCGCCCGTCGCGTCGTAAAGGGCTGGGCTTCTTCTGTGGATCTGGCGCGTTTTTTTTTGGGGGGGTGGTGGTGCCAAGTTTTTTTAGTGGGTTGTTTAAAAGGGAACCGAATGGAAAACCGAAGCTATTTTTGAGGGGGGACGAGCCGCCCATATTTATGGGTTGTGCTTGAGTGCGTGAGTTGTTTCCCCTTTGTGGTATGACGGAAAATCGGAAAGGTGAACCAAGGAAACCAGGGGGCTGATGTGTGCCTTCAAAGCGGCCCTCCGGGTTGGGGGGTTCGGGGCCGAAGAGAGGGAATCTTAGACATCGATCTCTGAGGAGCATGGGGAACACGTTCAGTTGCAACTCTCCAGTCTCAGTTTGAAAGGGAGAGATGGGGATTTAGCCACAGAAGCAAGGTATATGGCTATGATTGCTAATAGGGAACCACCTCAAACAATGATTAGTGGACATGAATTCCCGCCTAAATGATGTCCACCCAAACTTCACACCCATATTTCCTACCTCCTTGAGGTCCCCATATGACCATCGTCCGATGCGTTGGCCTCAAGAGGTGAGATTCCGCCGTGGCTGCGATCTGCCCCCGTGGTGGAGGCGGCGATGGGGATCGATCCCATCCCGTTCGTGGGCGGGTAGTGCGAAATCAACCATCCATAGTAGGTTGGCGTAGGTTCTTCCCGGGAGTAAAAAAATGTCTTCAGGTTTGTTCTTGCCTTATCGAGTGATTTATATATATATATATATGTATTGTGTTGAGGTAATCTTCCCTCCTCGAGCAAAAGTTGCTTTGAGTTTTGGTCCATCCTCATGGAGTGACTGTTTGAGGATTGCTCTGCCTTGGAGTAATGTTTGCTTTGAGGTTCTCAGCTGTTGGTTTGATGATCTCTCCCGGATTCTCACCGGTAGTGTTGACTCCCTGATTACGGAGCAGGCAAACATGGAAGCTCCTCCTCATCAAAGGGCACTTTAGCCTCAAGGGGACCAAATTTGCACTGTACCAGGGCTTCGCAACTTCGGGTACCCTTTTTGGAGTTAGTTTAAAGGGGGAAACCAACAGCAAAAATGGGTCCCCTATTTTGTCACATACCCATACTGGGTTGTGTGACAAAATCCCCCCCCCCCCCCAAGGGCAAGAACAGTAACCTGAAGACAATTTTTCACTCCAGGGAAGAACAAACCTCAGAACAGAACACACTCCAGCAGTTGAAGATTGGTGTTTTTGCTTTTGGGTTCCCTTCAAACTAACTCCAAAAAAACACCCGAGGTTGCAAAGCCCTGGTACAGTGCACATGAGCCCCCTTGAGGCTAACATGGAAGTTCCCAGGTGCCCCTCCACAAACCTCAGAACACACTCCAGAACTTGAAGATTGGTGTTGGATTCGATCCTGAGGTTACCAAGGTGATGGCTACCAAGGTGTTTTGGTTGGTGTTGGATCCCGTGGATCCCGTGGATCCTTCGGCCTTCGGATCCAGATCCTTTTCACAGGAGCCTGAGCAGCACGACCCCAAAACCGGCGCCTTGGAGATCGTGGGCTCCCAGTTTCAGCAGCCGCTGGGTTCCAAAAAAAAACACACAAAAAACGGGGGAGGCGCGAAAGGTCACATGGCGTAGGGGTAACTTCTGGGCGTTGAAGTCACACGTTTTTTTTTGGGATTCTTCCTTCCAGAAAACCGCGAAAACAACACCCAGGGGAAATGGCTGGTTTTTGAGAAGAACGATGGCTGAAAAGAATGGGGAAACAACACCTAGATACATGGCGCGGGGGCAAACATGGGGTTGGGCAGGCGCGTAAAAAACACAAACAAAAAAGACAAAAAGACCAGACGATTTGGGTCGCCCTCCCCCGGGGAGGCTGTCAACAGACGGAGGTCCGTAGAATTCAACCCCGCCCTGAAGCGGTGGGCAGCAAATGGTTGTGGCTCAAAATTAAACGATCGGAGGGGCAAACCGCAGGTTTTGGTCCATGTTTCCACTTACCAGGGCAACCCATTCTGGAATCCCGGTTTGTTGAGCCACAGCCAAATCTCTTTTAGTTCGGTTGGTTTCCCTTGGCCATGCTACTCAAAGGGCGATCGATTCGGTACGTCGGGTAAGTGGTGATCGTCAGCCTGGGGAGATAACCCACATGGGAGACTGAACAAACCATGGCTTTTTGTGGGTTACGACCAGGCTTGTGGAGAGTTCACTTTGCAGCCAAAGGCTGCAAGGGGACTCATCCGAGATGATTGTGGGCTTCAATTTCTCTGCAAATTTGCCTTTGGAACCCCCAAAGGCGGATCGGGGCCCAAGAGGAAAAGAGGAGGTTCCGCTGCACATGGGCGACCCGGGGGTATTTTTTGGTGTGCGGAGACATGCGTTTTTTTGTGTTGCTAAGACCAACATATTGCTCCTCGGCTTCAGCTTTCGGATGTTGCGCAGCCCAAGCTGCAACAGACCCCAAGCAACCGTTTACCTCACTGGCCCACGTTGCTTAAACCGGTCCTGCGCTCAGCCCCGAATGCTATATAAGCCTTATGCCTTCTACGAAGGCTGCCCCACACCGAGCCACAATTATGTTCACTTTGGTTTGGTTGAAGTTTTTGGTTGAAGTTTTGGGTTCTGTTCATTTTAGTAGGGGGCTGTCAGAAAAGCAGTTTGTTGCAAGCCAAAATTAAGGGTTAAAGTTATATGACCCTCATCCTCACCCTAAACCGCACAACCCGGAATCTGCTCGCCGCTCACTTTCAACTAGCCCTAGACCAGCCCTAGGCAAAACCGACCTCTGTCCTGAAACAGGGAGCCCCTTATGGGTTTCCCAGTTAGACTTTTGGAAGACACTCCCTTCCGGTCGAGCCTTTTCAGCAGCTATCTTGCTGTTAACGGCCCAGGCTGGCTTTAGACGACAGCAAGGACGTCTTGGTCATGTTCTTCGCTCCCTGGTGCGGCCGCCGGGTTTGCAACATGTGCGCGAGGGGATCCCAATCTTCCCACCCGCACTCCCGCGCGGCTGGCGCACGCAAATGCTTCGCACGCGTGCAACGCGCAACACCCACACAAAAACAGAAGCGCACACACACAACACACGCCCACACAGCATACAGCACACACACACATACTCCACGGAGCACACGCACACACAACACACATACATACACACCATAGCCCTACACATGCATATGCTCTCACTAACGCAATTCAAGCTCTCTCACACAATTCGTTAGCAACAAATACAACACACACACACACGGCACGCAATCCGTACACAAGCAGAACACAGATACAGACACAGACACAGACAAGGTCAGAGACAGAGACACTGACAGAGACAGAGACAGACGTACATACATACATCCGTGCGTACATGCACACACATACTTACATATGCACACACACACACATACGCGCATACACACATACATACACACATACACACGTATATATACACATACGCAGACACACATACACACACACACCCACCCATGCACGTACACACAGAGATACAGACATACACACATACAGACCTACAGACCTACAGACATGCAGACATACATAAATACATACATACAGACATACAGACATGCATAAATACAGACATACAGACATACAGACATACAGACTCACAGACGTACAGACACACAGAGAGAGAGACAGACATACAGACATACAGACATACAGACATACAGACATACAGACAGACAGACAGACAGACATACAGACAATACCAACATGCACACACACACACACATGCAGACATACAGACATACCGACACAAAGACACAGAGACACACAGACATTACAGACATGCAAACATTCCGTCAGGCAGACACGCGGACATACAGACATACAGACATACACCTATACATCCATACATCAATACATCCATGCTTCCTTGCATTCATGCATCCATGCATTTATACATCCATACATCCATGCATCCATACAATCATACACACATACACGCATGCACTTTTCATACATACAGGCATACACAACCATACGTACACACACAGACAAACAAAAACAACATCACACATGCACAGAAACCCACGCACGCACACACACACACACAGACCCCTGCTACAATATCTCGTCCGTGTGGTTTTTTTTTTTTGGGGGGGGGGAAGGGGCACTGGAGAAATCTTCTCCCGACCTAGGAGGCCTGGTTGAAACTTCCGGGTGGCCCTAGAGACGAAGATATTCTTTGCTACCCCAAACCATCGCCAGGGGTTTAATGGGAGATGTGGCCGCTAGAAAAAGCCACTCTATGTAAAGGTTGTAGACTTTTTTTTCCCCCCGGGGGGGGGATAGTAGTTTGGGGGTAGGGTAAATCATGGATGGAGATGAGTGGATTTGCATCTTTTTTCTTTTTTTGTTTACCTCTTCCCTGCCAAACGCAGGCTTTTCCAAGCGCATGCAGCCGCATGTGGATGAGCTGGCGCGGCGGACGCGGCATTTGTCTACCTTCACCGTGCTGAAGATTGACGAGACGCGCAATGATGTGGGAGGGAGGGGGGAGGGGCTGAGTGTTGTAAGTCCATTTTGTAGTTCCATGTTTACTTGTGGAAGACTAAACAAAACGCAACGGGAGACCTTACCCCCCCCCAATCGCCCCTCCTCATCCAGAGCCGCAATCAAAGCCCGGGTAGATAAAGGGTAATAAGAGAGTTCTTGATTCTTTGCCAGGTTGTTGCCAGGATCTTTGGGCTAGATCCCTTGAGTACCAGGTTTTGATTGTGACTCTGGGGGTTTCCTCCCCCCGTCAGACAAAGTGGACTTGGGGACCCTCTAGGTGAGCCACCCGGTGATGGCGCGGCTGAAGGGCTATCCCTTCTTGGCCTTCTTCCCCGCGGGCAAGAAGGACGCCGCGCAGCAAGTCAGGGCGACTCGAATGCATCTCCGAATGAGAGCGAGACGGATTCGGGTGGACTTTTTTTTTGCACTCTTGTTCTTGCCGGTGCGATAGGTAGGGAATGAGAAATGGAATGAAGTCCAGTGGTCCCCTGAAAGGAAACCACCAGTTGGATGGTTTATAGGAGTGGTTCCATTTCTCATTCCCTGCGTCTCTCGCACCAACAAGTTTTTGGGGAATTGGCTCCACTGAAAAGACAGCATGGATTCTGGATTGCACGTGATTCGGCAGAGTGCCGCAGGGCCACAGAAACGCCCAGTGAGTTGCGAGCGATCCTTTTTTCCCCTGTTTTTTTCCGGTTTTTCCCCAACAGCTGAAAGCTTTGGGGTCTCAGCCCAGATAGGCTCCGGGGTGGTTCAGGGCGACCCTGAGCTTCGGTTCCACCAGGGTGCCACCAGGGTTCCACCAGGGTTCCACCAGGGTTCCACCACATTTCCACCAGGGTTCCACCATCTACGAGGTGTCCACCAGGGTTCCACCAGGTTCTGCAAGAGCTGCGGGGTGGTCTGGGTGGTTTGAGGTAAGGTTCCACGAGGGTTCCACCAGGGTTCCACCAATTTCTTCGAGGGCTGCGGGGCGGTCCGGGCTGGTTTGAGGAAGGTTCCACGAGGGTTCCACCAGGGTTGCACCAATTTCTTCGAGGGCTGCGGGGTGGTCCGGGCTGGTTTGAGGAAGGTTCCACAAGGGTTCCACCAGGGTTCCAGGCTGCGGGGTGGTCCGGGTGGTTTGAGGTAAGGTTCACGAGGGTTGCGGGGTGGTCCGGGTGATTTGAGGTAAGGTCCGGGGTGGTTTGAGGTAAGGTTCCACAAGGGTTCCATCAAAGATCCAGCAATTTCTTCAAGGGCTAGGAAGGTTTCACAAGGGTTCCACCAGGGTTCCACCAGGGTTTCACCAGGGTTCCACCATCTCCGGGTGGTCCGGGTGGTTTGAGGAAAGGTTCAGGGTTCTGCCAGGGTTTCACCAGGTTCTGCGTGGTCCGGGGTGGTTTGAGGTAAGATTCCACGAGGGTTCCACGAGGTTTCCACCAAGGTGCTCGTCGTGCTCTGGACGAGGGTTCTACCAGGGTTCCACCAATTTCTTGGAGGGAAGGTTCCACGAAGGAGGGTTCCACCAAGGTTCCACCAGGGTTCCACCAGCGTTCCACCATCTGCAAGGGCTGGGTGGTCCGGGGTTCCACGAGAGTTCCACGACAGTTCCACCAGATTTGCACCAGGGTTCTGCCAGGGTTTCACCAGGTTCTGCAGGGCTGCAGGGTGGTCCGGGGTTTGAGGTAAGGTTCCACAAGGGTTCCACCAGGTTTCCACCACGGTTCCACCAGCCCAGCCCGTCGTGCTCCGGACGAGGGTTCCACCAATTTGAAGGGCTGCGGGGTGGTCTGGGCTGGTTTGAGGAAGGTTCCACGAGGGTTGCGCCAGGGTTCCACCAAGGTTCCACCAGCGGGCTGGTTTGAGGTAAGGTTCCCTGCGAATTCTAAAAATTGCAGGAGAATTCCAAGGTAAGGTTCCATGAAGGTTAAAGCACGGTTCTAGCAGGGTTCCACAAGGTTGCGGGGTGGTAAGGTTCTATGAGGGTTTCAGGGTTCCACGAGATTCTGCGAGGGCTGTGGGCCCTGAGGTTTCACATGGTTCCACAAAACTCTGCAAGGATTCCACACGGGTTCCACAAGGCCACCCAGGGTTCCAGAAATGTTCTGCAAGGTTCCGTGGTTTGCCCTGGAGGGAAGCAGTGTGTCGTGCGCCCGTCGTCTGAAAAGCCATCGGATTAAGATCGCTTTGCCATGGGTGGAACACTAAGCAAAACCGAAATCAATGGTTTTTAGCACACTTTCACTGTTTTGTGACTTGCTTTGGGTTCCGAGAATTCCACGAGGCTGCGAGGGCTATGAGGTCACAAGGTTTCCACCAGGTTCTGCAAAAGCTATGGGGCGGCCCTGAGGAAAGGTTCCAACAAAGTTTCACGCTGAGCTCCACGAAAGTTGCGTGAGAACGGTTTGCGAGGTTCACCGGGCCTAGGTCGCCGATTGCACTGTCGGGGTTCGATTGCATCGTTTGGGCCCGATCGGCTGCGATTGCGCCATCGCACCCTGATCGGGGCCCGACTCAGTCGGGCCCCGTCAACTGTACCAAGCTGGCATCGCCTGGTTTTGCTATAGATACAGTTGCAATCCGCATGCTAAGGAAAACCGGCGTTGAGCTATAATATGGGTGGCTGGGGTTGCACCACGGGACGATCGGGCCCAGATTGCACCGTCGGGCCCCGATCGGGCCCCGATTGCGCCGTCGGGCCCTGATCAGGCCCGATTGCGCCGTCGCGCCCCGATCAGGGCGAGATTGCACTGTCACTCGTAGCTTAGCTTTAGAAAGTTACATGGCGGCATTCTCAGCAACACCGGCGGTAAGGATGGTCCCGGGGCGTTCCGCGAGGATTCTGGGAGGGCGTGGTGCTGTTGGGGATATCGCCCGAGCTTTTTTTTTTCTTTGAGGGGGGGAAGCCCAATTCGAATGGACCGAACAACAAGTGCCCTTTTGGTCAACTTGCCCATGGAACATTGACTGGGGACCTGGAAGGCCTGCAGCGGGAAAGCGCAGAATCGTTGGCTGATCCATGCGGTTGTCCTTCAAAGTACCCTTTCTGGTCATATGGATGTTGTTAACCCTCTTTCCAGTCGCAATCCTCAGTTGCCCAAAGCGAATCAACCTTTTGCTGCTTTGGTTTCCCAATTTTGGGTTGATTTTTACTCATGGCCCCAAAAGGAGATCACCTTTCATATCTGGGTCCCTGGGTTGGGCAACTGAGAATCATGGAGGAGGTGACACCTTTGCAAGGTCTTCCAAAGTCAGGTGAGCTTAGTGGCATGCCTTTGGCGAATGACTCGGCGATGGCCTCCAACTCAGGATTTCGGAAAGCCCTCCCTTAGCTCAAGCAAACCTTTCTCGCTTTGGCCGGCCGCTGATGTCGTGCTTCGTGGAGACAGAGAGGGGATTTGCTTTAGGGGTGGGGTGTTGAATCCTATGATGTCAAGGGAATGGTGACAAGCAGCCTGATGAGTTGTGTCGATTTCACATGCGTCTTAAGTAGTTTGGGAAGCATTTCGGAATCCTGGTTGCCCTTCCCTTTGCAGGACCTGGAAGGCGGTCTGTTTTGAGTAACCCGCCCCACCAACACACGCACACACACAAAACACCCTTGGAGAAGAATATAGAACAGAGCAGGAGGCGCGTTTGGCTGGTCCTTCCAAGCAAATGCAAGAGAACCACAGGACACCAATCAATTCCAAAGCAAACCAAAAAGAACACCCAAGGGACCATCCCAATTTCGCAACCGGGTGCGTCTAATCCGATTCGCATTGAAGCTTAAAGGGACACCGCAAAGGGAAGCCAAAACGAAAGCCGAGCTCCATTTTGGTCGCCGCGCATTCCGACGTTCGTAGGTGGATGGGAAGCTGCTGGGTGATGCGGAAGCCTGGATCGAGCAAGCGGTGCAGAAGTTGCAGCTGCTGAGCAGCCAGCCCATCGATGCCAAAGTGCCCCTTTGGCCGAGGGATAAGGGGGGATAAGGGGGGGCGGGGGGGAAGGCCCTGGTTGTGGCAGTAACGTGGGACATTGCTGGATGTGGAAGCTTGGTTTTGCAATATGTTGGTAGTGGTTGAATTGTGGGGCTGGCTCATCCTAAGTTGGGGGTTGACCATCATCTTTTAGATGCCTCCTGTCCACTTCTGTGGCGAAGAGGGACCACTATGAGCAGCAACCCCCGCCAAGCCTTCCGGCTCCAAACAGCAGGCTGTTTTCCTGATCTGGTGCGGGTTGACCCTTTGTTCAAAGGTGAAAGACCGCAGAGCGCAGCGGGCGATGCTTAAGTGACCGGCAGCATGTTTCTGCTTTCTGATTCCCCCCCCCCCAAAAAAAAAACAGGTTCGTTGGTCAATATTCGTGGCTGGATTGAGTGCCCATGGACAGAGTTTCCCGACATATTATTTGTGGTAGACTTAGGATACATTTTACATTTTTCCAGTGACTCAGTTTGTGAAGCAAGCAATAAAATATACATTTTATATCTGGGCCTAACTCTAATCATGTTACTGCTTCGCCTTTTAAAGGGTTTCGAGGATCACCTTTTGGGGAGGATTCAGAGCTCAGAGTGGCATCCATTTGCAAAAAACCTCTGGGTTTCCATTTGCTCTCCGATCCAGGGGGAATACGAGCGAAAGCCATGGTCATTCTTTACAGCATCGCTTTATCAGGTGGAAT